GACTGGATTCTTTATAGCCGATATGGTAGCCCGTTCCATCTCTTATACCTTTGAAACCCAAAATACTAGGAATTTGTGGGCTCTCAAAGGTAATGCCTTCCCAATAATGCATCCAAATTGAAAGATGTTTGGTAATGGGGTCGATGCTATAAGTGAAATTATCAAGATCAACCTTCGATTGATTTCGTTGAATAATTTCTCGATTTCGCCATATTCACCCTTTGTTATTTCAGTTTTCTCTCATCATATGGTCTAGATATTTTATCTTTTGCCACTTTAAGACTTGCTCTAACTTTGTCTTTTTTATAGTACACTATTTTAGTATCTGTTACATTGTTAAAAAGAGTGGGAAACGTTATTTCTGACAATGCAACTCTCCATTCGCCTTGCAGATCAATATCTTCACTCAGCAGGTTTTTAAAACTCGCTAGTGAGTTGTCAATGAAGATATTCATTGAGGCTGATGACACCAATGTAATACTAAAGGAATCTTTGTCACCTCCAAAGTTGCTAGACATTGTTTAGCTTGACCCTTCCTTTTCCAATACTCTGATTAGTTCGGGCTCATAAAATTTACCCTCTATTGGTTCTCTATCAGCGTCGATAAGATTATAAGTCGGTGGGTTCCTTGTTGGTATGTCAAATATTCAAAAACTTCGTCAGTGAAGGATTGTTTATAACCTTTTCGAAAAGGGATTTCAATTTTTGCTATTCTCACAAAATCGCCAACGTAGAGCTTTGGTCGGCGAACTAGTTTCAATGATTGTTCCGCTCTTAATGAAATTAGACGTGGAACATCCTTTTTTGTCACTTTATTGGGGGTATTTGATGACGCGGTTTGTTCTCGAATTTATTGTGTTGACAAAGTCTTGAAGCTTATCGATGTAAGAGTAGGTCCATTTGTCCTCCAAATACTTATAAATCAAACTTTTTAGTGATCGAATGTTCCTCTCGGCGAAAGCGGACTTCTTTTCACTCTCTGTTGTGTATGTCTTGATACCCTTTTTCTCACATAAAGTTTTGAATGACCCCTTGAACTCGGTGCCTTTATCTACCCAGACTTTTTTCGGTTTCTCTGTCTTTATCATTTGATTGAACGCTTCTGCAGTTGTTGTGGCATACTTTGATTTCAGTGGCTGCACGCGAAGATAACGGGACATGCAATCTACTGCATCTAAAAGATATTTGATATCTTTGTTGTATTTTGCTAGTTTATCAACATATGCCAAATCGATTGACCATATTTCGTTTATGTCATAAACTATCACTTTAAGCCGAGCTATTTTGCGGCGAACTGTTCGGTATTTTGTATAAGATGGTTCTGTATGTAAAAAATGTTTAACTTTTCGTCTTGGTATGACCGTTGTAGCCTTCAAAATTTTAACACTATCGAACAATGCTGGACCTTTATCTGTGTAACTCTTTTTCAAAAGTTTTTCCTCAGTTGGTGTAGGTTTCCCATCTTTTACTTTTCGTCTCCGTCTTTTCTGACGTTGAAGAATCTGAATCGTTATAGGGCGTACCGTACGATTCAGTGTCGTCTTCGTCTTTCTCTCTTTCTTTGACTCTTTCCGTGGTGGCTTTCTTTCTTGTTTTGAGTCGTTTGGTTTGTTTTGAACTTGATGATGGCTTACTACTGTCGAGGATTTTTGTTTTGCCCGATGTTGACGGAGATTTGGTTGGACTTTTGGTTCTTCGTTGAGCCTGTTCTTTAATCTTTGACTGAACCGCGTGTTTGGCATACTTGTTAATAACAGACTCTTCGGTAAGTTCGAGAGCGGATAA